AATTTTATGGTTTTTGTAAAAATGTGTTGTTTTAAGCAATCTTATTGCTTCGTCCTTTTTATAATGAAACCTCTTTTTACCCCCGGAAGGTGGCATGCGGTAAACTCAGTCGGCTTGTAGTGGGTTTTGATGTCCACAAAAACCACATAGGGAGTCCGTGCAGTTCTGACTTTGATTTCCTTCCAAATTGAAATGAATCCTTGGTAAGGTGAGTCCCGCTAAAAAAGACCAAAAAAGGAACAACCTTTGTGCGTTAGATTCCTCTGTGGGTCTCTGTGCAGACACACGTTAGGCTACTTTATATGTTTCTACATTTCAACAGTCAATCCAGGTCAAACTGCAATGTGAGATTCTGGAGTTTTGATGGACGTTTACTCCTGGAGAGCTTCTTGCGGACGCTAAATTTCCCCCAATGTCCTCACTGCTATTCAATCGAGGATCTTTGTGAATTCTCCTAGAGGGACCTAGGCCATGCCGGTTTTACGACCATAGTATCCATCAGTGATGTGATTCTTGTTTAGTCTGCGTGTTCCACATATCACCGACGTTTGAGATCTAGACTAGGGTTTTGTAAAAATGTGTTTTGATGTTTTGGTATGTGGTTTTCGGTTTTGATCGAAATCTATCGCGGTTTTTCGGTTTTGGGTAATTTTTAGAGCGTTTTTTCGGTTTTTATAGACCCCAACGCCCCCATCTACCGAAAACAAATATACGACAGACCAAGACAGTCTTAAATTTTGGATTCCACGCCATGGATTCCGGCCGGATTTCAGGTACTGGATTTCTCGCCCGAGAAAACAGCCGACGGAGGCGTCGCAAAATGTCAGCTGTTTTCTCAGGCGACTGTTCCACAAGATGAGATTATCTCACTTTTAGAATTATTAAAATGAACATTATTTTAAAAGTACAATGTATTCATTATGTCATAAATAAAAACTGAATGATGAAAGTGACGTTTGAAGAGCAAGTTATGTATTTAATTAAAGCCAATTTCTTACAAAGGGTCGCAATCTTGCGAGCGTTCATATAACTTGGGCAACCTGTGCCCGTCATAGATAAAAAAAGAAATGCACATGACAGTCTCGTGATCCATTCTTGTCTGGGTCAGTCATGGCGAAGAGAGGATTTCTCGTCTCGATTGCTGTGTTTTCCTTGTTCTTTTACCTTGCTGCATCTTCTCCAGCTATACCAGACGAGGACTGGAATTACGTGAAAGTCAGAGAAAACGCGTTTATGTTTTGGTGGCTTTATGGAGCTCACACCACTCAATCTCAGCGCCTTTCGAGACCGCTCATCATGTGGCTACAAGGAGGCCCTGGTGCTTCGTCTACGGGATTCGGAAATTTCGAAGAACTTGGTCCACTAACCGTGAAGCTTACGCCGCGAAACACAACTTGGCTGCGAGCCGCTAATGTGCTGTTCGTCGATAACCCAGTGGGGGCAGGCTACAGCTATGTCACTGACAAGAGTGCTTTTACCACAAACGTAACAGGCAAGTGTCTTCTGCAGTGTATAATAATTTAATACCAGTATTCAGTAATCCGTTGAAAATGGTTGTCTGTTTGAATACCACCTAACTTTGTACAAGCTGAGGCCTCTTTCGAACCAATTTCGGTCTGCTTAACTTGTTTGCGGAAAGGTGATAGAATGGAGTTGGGGTTGGCGGAGGGTAGTCGGGTGGGGTTGAGATGTTGTGATGCGCTTCGCTACTTTAGGTTTCATTTCTGCCTGTTAAATTCCCCCGGGTTTCAGAGCTAATAATTTGTGATATTTTCCAAATATGATACATTGTTTTTTTTCCCAATAAATAATACTTTTTAAACAACATTGCAAAATGTATTCTGCTGACGAGTAGGATGGAGTGGATGTTTCATTGTGCGCTTAAAAAATTTTACATTTATCATTTGTTTCCTATAGGTTTGAAACTAATACTCGCCAGGATTAGGAAAATGCAATTTTTTTAACTGCCAAATATGAGCTTGCCAAGGACTTCAGTTCTATATAGGATTTTTAGGTTCTTAATGTACTGGGACAATTATTGTGAAATTCCATTGTAGCTTGCAGAATAGGCATAGTTTTTTCAGGTTTTTCAGGGAAGCATGGAGTGCAAGATATGCATGTCGGGGGAAGTCACAGAAAAAAATAAATATTTTTTCGGCAGCTTTCCCCCTTTGCAGTGTCTCAGTTTCTCCAAGCCTACCTTCACTAGACAAAAAAATGTGTAAAATTAATGACTGTTCATATTTGGCAGGGCATATTATGCTTAACACATGACATTGGCTTCATTAAGAAAATGGGCATAAATGCTGAATTGAAAACAGCTACTGATGACACAGGACACCCAAGAAAAGACTAAACTTGCACAATAACAGCCAGTATAGGTAAATGTATCGTTGAGTAGTAATAATACATAACGATGTGACTCATCAGTCAGACTGTAATCAATGGATTATTATAGTGATTGAGCATTCATATTCTTCATAGGGATAGCAAATGATCTTGTCACTCTGTTCAAGGCTTTCCTGGGTAAGCAACCTGTGTTCCAGGAGATACCTTTTTACATTTTTTGTGAGTCTTACGGAGGCAAAATGACATCAGCCTTTGGTGTGGCTCTATATCAAGCTATTCAGGCTGGAATGATCAAATGCAACTTCAAAGGAGTAGCGCTAGGAGATTCATGGATTTCACCAGTTGACTCAGTGGTAACCTGGGGACCCTATCTTTATGCTGTATCACTACTTGATGATAAAGATCTGAAATTAGTGAACAGTGCAGCCCAAGAAACTGCCAATGCTGTTGCCAAGGGGCAATATGAAAAAGCCACTGAACTCTGGGATAAAACAGAGACTGTCATTGCTAAGAAAACTGACAATGTCAACGTGTATAACATTCTTCAACACAATACTCCAGCCTTCCCCACATCTCAGTCCCGAAAGAATGCTGTCCTTGATCGTTTATATAATCGCCATGTTGGTCTCCTCCATGCTGACCCCTTGACAGAACTCATGAATGGACCAATCAGAAAGAAGTTACGTATAATACCTGGAAATGTCACCTGGGGAGGCCAATCTGGAGACGTCTTTACATATCAGTCAGAAGATTTCATGAAGCCCGTGATATCTGATGTCAGCAAACTTCTGAGTTATGGTCTGAAAGTTGTCATCTATCAAGGTCAGTTGGACATGATCTGTGATACACTAGGTGCAGAGAAGTGGATTGCAAAACTTGATTGGGACGGACTACAAGAATTTCAAAATACTGACCGAGTCCCACTTTATCCACCATCTGGCCAGAAGGATAGGCATACGGGAGCATTTTACAAGGCTTACAGGAATTTAGAACTTTATTATATCCTGTTGGCAGGGCATATGGTTCCTTCTGATAATGGAGAGATGGCTTTGGAAATGGTTGAAAGAATTATTAATCAAGATAATAGCAAATCAGCGCTGTGATTCACACAAGGCTGATTACAAATGCATGCAATGAGTTTTTTTTGTGCTCTAAATATACATGTAGGTGCTTATACAGTAGTTGCATTGCAACTGTCTCACACACACCATAAACATGAATTCAAGATCAAGAGACTAATTCTACAATCATGCCAATAAATAAATGTCAGTTTAATCAAGCTAAAAGCATATTTGTTTTTACGTTTCTACCCATATTGTTTTTAGTCATGGCTGACCTCTAATGTTGTGGTTTCTTTGTTTATTTATTTTCTTAACACCACTATTTTTTACCAAAAAATTGATAAGTATACCTTTACAATTGATTCTACATAGCTAACTCTAATAAAAATAAAAATAAAAATCTTGATTTGTTGGTTAACTGATTGCTTATTATCAGATCATAGTTATTGGCTGAAACTTATCATACTCTAAGGTACAGGTTGTACCATACCATTGAATTCAGAAAATTAGAACCTCAGAGCTTATACATTTTTAAAATCAAAAAGGCCCTTTTGAGGGGCTTATTTTCAGAGGGCCTTATGGGGGCCCTGTATTACGATGGGATCTACTTTTCCCAGGGCTGTGACCTTATAGAGGGAAGTTTTTTCAGAATTTCATGGTAAAAATTGTACAACAAATTAATGTAGCAAGTATATTTTTTTGATGTCACAATAATGTAAGAATTACGTAAACTTTACAAATAAATAATCTTTATTTTAACCTAAACTTGGATAATATGTGCTTTGCATGACAGACCAATGGTGATGTTGATTTCTAAAGAGCACACTACTGTCTTTTGACTGCAGACAAAATTATGGTAGAAACAAAATATTAAATAATCTGAAAAAATCCAGACAACGAAAACTACACATAGTTTAAAATTATTTTAAACTATGTGTAGTTTTCCTTGTCTGGATTTTTTCAAATCGTTTGGTAATGGGTGCCATGAGATTCCATCCCCATAAGGAGGGTGTGTGGAAGGTAGTAGAATACATAACCAAGACCTAGAAAAAAAATATAATAATAAATAATTAGTGATTGATAATCAGATTTTAGATTGTATTTATGGACATTGCCGATCCTTACATAATTATTATGTAAAGATCGGCAGTGTCTGTAAATTAATCTAAAATCTGATTATCAATCACTTATTTGACCTAAAACATCTGAGCTGAAGGTTACAAGTGTCACTGGCTATATGAGGTTACGTAGTTAACCATAACATCATAACTAGGTACTGTAAAATAATAATTTATTTCAATTATTTTTCAGTTACATTGCATACCCAAAGGTTTAAACTTACCTTCCATTCACAAGTCCTAAAAGCATTTTCCAGTTATTCCAAACCCCAAAATTATAGGGATTGCTAAAAATCTGAGATCAAAAGAAAAATATATTTTGATAATAAATAAATTGATATTTATTAAATATTAAGATGGTTAGTGTACAATCAAGTCGGCTCACATTGCACACATCCTGATAATAAGGACGGCAGCTACATTCCAAGCAAAAAATATAGTATTTACAGATGTTTTACAGAAATCATACTTATCCAGGCAGAGATACGCTATTATTTTGTAGTCAGACCAACAGTTAGCCAGAGAAAACAGCTGACATTTCATGACAACACCGCTGGTTTCCCTTCGAAATGATGTCTGAGAGACAAGTGAAGAATTCTGTACTGAGGACGATGTATCACTACCCAGATCTGAGTAGTACGGTACTGGGCCCAGTTGTTCGAACGCCAGTTAGCGCTAACCCAGGGTTAATTTTTAACCGGGGCTTCTTTTTCTTTTCATCAAAAACACTCACTCGGATAATTTTCTATATTTTTTTTAGAGTATCCAATCATGAAATTGTAGACAAAGAGAATTAAACTGAATTTGTTTTTTTAAGCGCTTATATCTGAGTTCAAATTTCGCACTAACCCTGGGTTACCTTAACCCACCTTCGAACAACCCGGCCCTGGTGTTTAGATGAAGCAAATTATCAACTAATCAGAGGCACTACCCAGATCTGGGTAGTCAGATGCATCATCAGCAAGGAATTTCTGCACTTGTTTCTCAGATGTCGTTTCGCAGGGAAACCAGTGGTGGCATTGCCAAGTGACTGCTGTTATCTCAGGCTAGACAAAAGATGAGATCACTCCTGGGAGCAAGATAATGTGCAGGTGTCACAGCAATTTCCTAAGATTATTTGTAACCATTGGTAACCGATAACTGTCGAGAAGTATGATGCAGCCCTGTGGCAGATGAAATTAGCAATCCAGGCTTGAATTGCACCATTGTATTGATCCTTACATTACTTATTTTATTACTTAGATTTGTTCTTCAGTTGTATCTTGGTAAGTGTGCATGTACAATTTCATTTTGTGCGCGTGCATTATTTATTTTTTTAAATGACGTTTGTGCATTTAGTTCGTTAAATAACATCTTAATTTTACTTTGCGTTATTTTCCTCACTTATGTGTGTTGTCCATGACTGTGCTCACATTGTGGGTGGCTCCTCCTAAAATGTTCTGCAATTGGTATAGGATTTAATGGAGCCAAAACCAATTGTGGAATTGCACACAATTTAGGCATCCTACTGATGAACAGTTACGACACGTAGATATAATTATTTTACAGCAACTACTATAATTTGCAGTAGATCCACTTTGAATTGCTTCAAATTTCTGAGCCTGCATAAAAAGCCAGAAGTCCATGATTTAAAGACTTCCAACTTTGGCCCAGGAGCTCTCTGTCTGTGGCACAGGATTGAATGGGTGAAGAATGCCAACTTAGAATCCCAGAGGTGCCTGTACAATATAACAAATTCACTGAATGAACATTGGATTTTCATTTGGTAAAGTTTATTACTCACCAAACCTTTTTTCCGTAATCTTTTTGCGTCATCTCTGTTAGAATGCCACTCAATTGATGTCTCTCCATAGCTGATTAACCTACAGTGCCATCCAGTTAGAATTCCAAGAGCTAATGTGACACTAGAGCACAACATGAAAACAAAGAGGATGCATCGATGTTCCGACTTTGAAGCACTTTCTTCCTTATCGCGATAAGAACCAGCTGGCTGAAAGGAAAAGTCAGTAACATCAGGAATTCCGCAGTACTTGTTTTTTAATCACTCTATTCAAGATGCACATGGTCTTTGTAATACTGGGCAGAGAATTCAACCTCGTGATCAAAACGCAAGGAATTATAAGTTAAAATAATTTCTGTCCACGGTTTTTTCATTATTTTACGTTCTTTTGTCTGCATGAAAATTTATTGGTACTTTTGTTTACTGTATCTTTATCTTCTTTTCATGAGACAAAATAAACTCTCCTTGGGTCGACCTAAATCAAGTTAAGATCATCTTTTGGGTCAGACATCAAACTTCAGACACATCAAACCAATCAACTGAATGAGACCTGTAATAATTTTTCTTCCGAACGAGACTAAATAAACACCTTCACGCAAATTTTTAATTTATTAGTTTAGTTTGTCGCATACATGTGATGATCGATGTTTGTCCCGGAGATGATAACGTGTTGGACGATCCAGACTCATCAGACGAACTTAACTGAGCCATACGTCAAACTTTTCATGAACCTAACTCACTAAGTTTGGTTTGTCTCATGAAAAGTTTGATGTTTGGCCTAGGCATTACCTTGACTCTTGAAGATACATGTAAAAGAGTTGAATTATTTTTCCCATTATTAATGCTTGCCCTTGACTGAAAAGCAATAAACAAGAAAATTTAGAATAAATGTAAAACAAATTAATATTTTACAAACCAGCAGTCTAAAACCTGGACAAAAATGTTAAGAAATGCATGTTGTACTGTATGTCCTGCCTCAATTTAACAATACAGCTCTTAAAGCACCGATTATACAATGCAAATACTTCCCCCTTCCCAACCAAAAACAATGTTTAAGTCGTGCTGGATCATTTTTGTATCCAATGAACAACATTGATCAGGGCAGGGTAGGTTGAGGAGTCACAGGGAGCCAATTCTGCAGCATGGGCATCCTGTGGGTAAGAAATTGTCAAACTCTTTTAAAATGTAGGTACAAAAACACTACACTTTTGTCAGTATTTTCAGCCAGCTGGAGAGATTGCTGTAGTTTCAGACATATGAGGAGCCTGGTGGTGTTAGCTATTCTATTAACCCTTTAAGCACTAAGAGTGACCAGCATCAAATTTCTCCTTGTAATATCACAGCTTTGTAAAACAGAGTGGTCGTGAGAATTACGGACATGATCACAACACAAGATAAATTTGCTTGATATTTTATCAACTTCTCCCCACTACTTCTGTAGAAAATAAATGGGGGCAACAAATGAGAATTCAAATTTTGATCTTAGGGTTTGAAGGGTTAAGGAGAGATTCAACTTTTTCGCAAAACTCAGACACCTCATTAAAAAGTTATATACAATGTACCGTAAAACCCACCATGCAAGTTTTAAACTTACCCAGTCATGGAAGAAGTGCATGATGAACAGATTTCTAGCAGAAACAGTTACATACAGGGTTCCAAGACACATAAATATACAAAATAATATAAAATGTTGATGATTAAAATGACCAACACAGTTGTTTATCCATGCTACCAGTAAGTGTCAAGGAAATTTCAATAATTTAGTGCAACTACAGCCAAAACGTATTTAAATGGCCAGTTTTCAGTGATTTATTAACAATTTTGTCAAGTAAGATTCAGGTAACTGGTGCAAAAAAGAGGGTGGCAGCTATATGTAAGTAGAAGAGACTGAGTGCATATTTACTTTTAATCAGTTACTTGTATTGGTTTTACATAACTTCTTTATAAAAATATATTATAAAGTTTTAGATAGGTACACATGTATAATTTACCTGAGTGCCAAATATAACATCGCTAGATATACCTTTCCCATCACAGTTTCTAGTGTATAAGATGGACACTTTTGATTACATTATTTTATATTTTTTCCACCTTTGCATGTAGATCTTTTTCCACTCTTGCTCCCCATTTGATGGATATTATAATATCCATTATTGCAGTAAATAATGGTAACATACATGTATTTTATCTTTCTGATATTACCATAGATTTCTTCTGAACTTAACAATCATATGATTGGTAAAGTATAAAGTTTATGAGGGCCTGCTGCAGGAGACAAGGGAGGTGGAGAATCAAAATACAGGCAACTCTCGCCTTACAGACACCCCGATAATATGGACAGCAGCTAAATCCAAGGCAAAAATAAATTACAGATGTTAAGTTTGACTGAAATAAACTCCCGCTATTATGGACTCTCGCTAATGAAGACACTAACTCGAGGTCCCTACAGTGTCCGCTATAAAGGTAGTTGACTGTAGGTTGAAATTGTTTTCACCTGGATTTAACTTGTAAACTACAACTTTTTATGATGTCAAGTAAATGGTAGTTTTTAGTGCTGGACTTATCTTGACCGGAAGTGTCAATTGATTTTGAAGCAACTTATTCTAAATTATCAGACACACATCAAATGACATTTATATTTATTATAAAAATTTCACAATAAAGGATACGACAGTGATGATCCATCTTGAGAACACACCTTTAATAAAGTAATATATATCTGATTAAATATTACTGCATTTGTCATGATTGTTGAGCATGATCAGTTTAGAGGAAAGTGAAGAGAGCTAAATTGACAGCACAAGAGCAACCATGAAAAAATTAAAAGCACAAAATTTAAAATGACTGAAATTTGCCCAAAAACCAATCCTTATGTAGGGGTTTAATTTTTTTTTTTTTTTTAAGGGTATGTATGTTTCCTTTCCAAATTTGACTTGAAGTTCCATTGACATCAACATCAGTACGGGGGGGGGGATTATCGTACACTGTAAGTTACTATAAAGGCCCTCAACATTAGAATTCAACTATTTGTGAAGAAATTGAAAGATAAAAAGGAAATGATGCAGTAAATTCACCTTTTGCATATTGAACAATGGTGGGATCTTGGAGGTTTAATTTGAATACCTGAAATAAGGAATAAGTTACAGTCAAAATTACTTTGATTATACACTATGATATCACAGGCAATTACCCACACTTACAGCATAGCCCTCTCCTACAGTCAACCCAAATACAGTGGCGTATCAAGGGGAGGGCCCCGGGCCCCGCCCCCCCCTCCCCTCTTACTCTTAGACCAAACTGAGGCCTGATGGGCCAAAAAAATTGAGACTGCCCCCCTGCTCTTATCTCAGGGTCTAAATGACTGCCCCCTCCCCTTCCCTGTATAGAATAGAATAGAACAATTCTTCATTTAAACACAGTAAAATTCATCAGGAGTATAACAAATTTTAAATAAACCTAACTACCCTAAACAATGTGCAAAACTATCTACAACTAACCTAACTAAGACCTGTTTTTAATGAATACTGTGTACACAGTACTTAAAAAATCAGAAATTCAGATGAGCCAATCATTTAAATAGACTTAAAGATTTAGCCTCTCTATTATCACAGGGCAGGCTGTTCCAGAGAACTGTTCTGCTATAACTGAAGCTGTTCTTCATGAAGTTAGTTTGCAGGAACAGAACAATTAGGTATTGCTTCATATCTTGCTGTTGTTATAGTTTGTCCTTAGTTTAAATTTTAGTTGCCTTTGTTCCAAAGTCATTGAACCACAATATACAAATGTACATAATTTCTTACTTACATTTTTTACAAATAGAGTATTTGCCACTTTTCACATTTTCTAAATTTGAATTTGAATCCTGAAAGAAAGGAAATATCTCATTAAAAATAAGTAATGATAAATCATTCATGATGAAGTTATGATTATATGAAAATCATATATGTGTACTACGGAGTGAAGCCTTATATGAAAGAAGATCATCACAGTTATAAACATAACTTTTGCAGTTGCAAAAAGAAAACCTGAAAAAAATTCAGGCTTGTAAGGGATTTGAACCCTTGACCTCTGCGATGCCGGTGCAGCACTCTACCAATTAAGCTAACAAGCCAACTGAGAGCAGGTCGTTGAATTGGTTTGTTATAAACCTGTGAAAGGATGATGATGAAGTTATGAATGTATTGAAATCATATCTGTGAACTGCAGAGTGAAGAATTATATGAAAGAAGATCATTGCAGTTATATGGTATGCAACTTTTGCAGTTGCGAAAAGAAAGCCTAAAGTTCACATATGGGAGATCCAGACATAGACCTTTGACAGATTCTTGTATGATCCCCACAATTTCCTTCAGGATCCTTGAAGGATCATGCCAAAGACTTTTAAAAGATACTTGCCTGCAATGAAGATCTTTCAAAGATCCTTATATGGATCCTTTTAAGATCCTTGAACTTGCGTGATCATATTATGAGTGATAGAAAGTCCAAACACAAGCGATCAAATTGCGTTCTGTGCATGCCATTCATTTTAAGTGGAAGTCCAAACAAATTAATGCTGGCTACATACATGCGATGCATGTGTAACAACAACCTGAAGATTAGGATTGCAGGCTCCTCTTGTTGCCTACAATTGCATGGTCATACCTGGAGAGCTCTTCCTGGTGATGTAAAGACTGCTTTAAAATAATGGAAAACAATGTTGATGAGTAGCCAATGAGCTGTTGCAATGTGAAGCACAATCCATGGTGTGGTGTAGAGCAGAATAGCAGGCAACACAAATGAATACCAAATAACTACTACAGATGTTGTTAATCCTATCACCAGCAGCACAAAAGCCTGCAACATGAAAATACATGTAACAAGTGGGTGCTTTCAGTCATTTCCGGGATCATACTTTACAAGGTCAAACGTCAGGTAAAATTGAAGGACAGCTTGCTCCCCAAAAAATCTGTTGGCCATCTTTTGGTAGATGACTGACAACGGACAGTCAGCCAACAGACGACCAAAAGTTGACTTATTGTTGTTAAACTGTTGGGGGCTGTTAATTAGTGATAAACTTTTCACCATTTTGAGATACCGGTAACCGTGAGAGTTCATACTAACCAACTACCGGTAGGTAAAAAATAAAAAGATCTAGTTTCAGTTTCTTTTTTCTTTAAAAAAAAATAGGGTTAGTTTTAATCTGTCCGCCCACTGTCCAAGAGCTGTTGTTCATCTGTCAGTGAACTGTCAGTCAACAGTTGGTGAGCTGTCTGTTGACAGTCTTCTGACAAATGGACGGATTTTTGGGGGAGCTGTTCTTTAATTTTACCAAACTTCATAAATTACTCATCCACATGGTACAAGTCCTCAAAAGCTGGTTCTATAGTAGAAGTGGGTTGTAAAATGGTATCCAAAAAAATACTGCAGCAAAAGTAGTAATTAGTAACAATGCTCCAAGCCGCAACCATTTTGGTTGCCATGGCGAGTAGAAAAAACTTTTGGCGACTAAAATTGCAGTGAAAGTCACCAATTTTTGCAACTTGTGTTCGGTGATCATGTGCCAAGCTATTCCCAAGAAATTCCCGAGATTTTGCAAAATGCATTTTTCTAGTAGTTAAAAGTGTTTATGGACTTTTTAGGTTAAAGTGAGATAGACATTCATATTAAAATAGTATCATTTATGCTCTGTTTTCTTTATAATTTGCCTGGATTTCACTCTGAATCTCTTGAGATGTCGCATGCACCTCCAATGAAATTCGATTGCGACATTTAGGCAGCCATTTTGATTCTTTCAAACCTTCATGTAGTGTTGCCCAAAATGTCCCTTTTTTCTGGCGACCGATACTGTAAGCCTTGCAACCATTTTATAATTTTAGGTTGTCAAAAGGCAACTTGAAAAAGGTCGAGCTTAGAGCACAGACTGAGTGAAACAGTTAACTTTGTTAACCTCAAATCCCAGCTTAAGAAGGGATCAGTGATTCATTATAAATCCTTCAGAGAAAAACTTCTACATGTACAAACTCACGAATTCAAGGTAAAAACTCAGTGAGCAGCAGATATTTGCAGCTGTTTACCCTTTGATATCATGAATTTTGCAAAATTATTGCCTGCTAGACAGTTTCATTGTAAGAATGTCATGTGACCTCAAAGTAACTAATGAGAGTATGTCCTGCTGGGGAAAAAAATTCCAGCTATATAAGGATACATGGTAGTTCTTATCAGGATTCATTTGCCCAAAGCACCAGGGGCTATGGAGAGGGTTTGTTTTATGAATCCCCCAAGGGACCGGCAATCTCCCCTCCCTATCCCCTCCACCCTCCACCCCCCACCTTCCTCTCAGCGAAAAGTTACCGGTTAATACTTTACATGTCCTGGCGGAGTCTTAAAACAAAAACGCGCATTGTTTATAACACACTACACGCATATTTATTTTGACGATTTTATCACAATGTCACTGCCTGCTTTTTTAGAATGAATTATTTATAATGGGAACTCACTTACCGGTCCAAGGATCCTAACAAAATGATCAATTACCCAGAAAACAGGTTCGAATACGGTGTCAAGTACAACCGCTCGAGAAGTTTCACTGCTGAAAGTTAGAGACCGTAAACTGAACAGTACGACTCGCAAACGTTGCATGGCGGTGCTTGTTCTGGCTTCTCTCGCCTCTGATGAAGTAACTATCCTCCTTAAGATCGGAACCATTTTGATGCCATGACTAGTGTAGGCAAGGAAGAATTAAGAACACACACTTCAATAAATGCTAAATTCTTTCATAGTCGTGACCTCCGCATTTTTCTCCTATGGCCGCCATTTTGAATTCCGTTTTTCCCCAGGGGACTAGGGAGACTTATCCCGTCATTCGTAGCGCAATATGAGAGTATGAAGAGTTTCAATTGGCTAATAAACAGGCAAATATTCACAAAACTTTCATGAAATAAATGAACTAAAACGCGTGAAAAATAGTGTAGGGGTACTTTGGTCGATTCGGAAGTTTCAGTTGGCTTTTTCGACTCATCATCCACCACACACACACACACGCTTTGGGACCCAGACAGTCTTTATTATAACAAAAACACTTAACGCAAGTACTCACACCTGAGACTGAACTGATAAAAACAAATACCTAAAACTACTGAGTCAAATCGTCGAAAAAAATACAAACATGCCGAACAGCCTGAAACAACAGAAAGGCAAGAAGACTATTCGAGGGAGTGGCGGGATGGGCAAATTTGTATCTGCACTGTGCCTATAATCTCGACGCTTCCGTAATCTGCTTGCGAATGCTTTAAACTGCCTGTACTCCGCACGATCAATATCAGTGCCAATAGAACTATAAAACTTACACAAGCTTAACTTATCGCCATCTGATTGGCTACTTAAAATCTTTTAACTATCAGCTATATTGTAGTACTTTTACATTCGAAGTGTATTTTACTAACCTGAGATCAGGCTCAATTTTCGTTTCGATTTGTAATAACTTTTCGGCGGGCAAGGCGAAACCAAAACAGACAGTAGCCGTTAGAGAGGATGTATCAGAACCGCTAAAAATGGGCCTGATCTCAGGTTAGTATTTTACCGATGGCTAGTTTAAGCCGGCCAGACCCTACGTTCGCTACGCTCAGGGTGGTTTAGATTTAAATATACATCGACGTCAATTTTCTAGTTTATTGTTTTATCACAATGCAAAACATTAAAGAATATTATTGTTAGCTGGGTCCAGTCAAAACAGTAAGCCAGTTAGTTAAATTTTTCAAAGAGACGCCTTCTAGTTCTACCGAAATTTTTTAGGAGACCTTTTCTAACAATAATCGAAATATCTTGGTGAAATGTTGAAGTTAGAAGAAAAACTTTGAATATCTTAGACCTTGTAAACGGTAGAACGGATATCCAGAAAATTTTACCATGACTTTCATATTAAGTTTAGAAAAGTCCCAATACCTTAAACGAATAGAAAAAAATTATCCAGGAAACAACCTTTCTCGTACTTTAGAAACTTTTAGGAAACATTTGCCGTTTGCTGGTTTGCCTTCGAGCAGATCATTTACAGAAAAATTAACAATTAGTTCATGCGTCAGCGTGCGTATGTCGAGATATTGAGCACGCGGGAAGTTTGGAGAGCACGAAAGAGGCGTAAGAGTTGCACGAGGCGCAGCCGAGTGCAACTCTAGCCTCTTGAGTGCTCTCCAAACTTCCCAAGTGCTCAATATCTCGACATACGCACAGCTGCAGCATGAACTAATTGTTTTATAACATTATCAAAGCGATCAATGCAGCAGTTAACTGAAAATTTTATTATTGAAGGGCGCGCTCAAAGCAGTACGCGTCAATGTTTACGTGAATATATCTTTTTTCCTCACAGTTAATCTTATGTTTTTATCCTGAAACTGAGAGAAAGTGTACTCTAAAATGATTGTAAAATCCATATTTAGGTGCCGGAAAACTATTAATTTACCGAAAAATTGTTATTGAGAGAAAACAACTTTGCAAAGAATGAGCTCACGCCATAGCCCGCACAGCTCGCGGAGATGACAACAACAACAACAACACTCACCTCTTTTCCTTACTATCGGTTAACAAATTCAAACGTTTCCTCTTAAATTTCTTTACAAAACACATGGTAAACGCTTCATTGTCTATTGCTGAGTTATGGATGCACTCAAGAGACTCAGGATTGCTAAGCTCACAACAACTCGAGGAATTACGAATAGTTTATTGACGTCATCAGCGTGCTCAATAGGAATATGAAGCACGCTCGCGCTATTGAATTTGATTAGGCGAATTTTCTAGCTATGTTATAAAGATATTTTGTATTCTGTAGGCCTTACTCATTATGTGCTGATGTTTACCAAACGCTTTAAAAAGGCTAAAAATGGAAAAATTAATTACTTCTCCATTTACTATACTCTGCTAGATTTGAGTCTTCCTGACTCTAGCCGGAACTCAGGAGACTTTTTGCCGAGTTCAGATTTTGTGGAGTTCATTTGTTTTGTTTTATTTCGAGTCAGTCGGTAGTCGTTTGTTTTTTGTTCGTTTTTTTTCCCGCTAGGTACTGGCAGCTTGCGGAGGAGTGACCGTCACGCCGACGTAGGGCACGTAAATATAGTCCTTGATATATCAATATTAATTGACTAACGTTAGTTCCTTTCTTTGGTTTTTAGAATGGTGCATGCATGATTTCTAGTGGAAAATGATGATCACGCAGTCACTCCGTCAGTTACTTCAATCAATCAATCAATCAACTTTATTGGTACATCCAATTAAAATGGGTTTTCACATACCAATTACCTCCTCCTTGCCCTTGCCTTGATGGTTTGATTTTAATTCGATGTACCTTATTATACGAAATTAACCATGCATGTTGACAACGCGAACAAACTTTACGTTACACAACTTAAAACATCAAATTAACGCCAAATTTTCGAAGACAATGTGCGCCTAACTTTATTTTACGCGAGTTGCTGCGTAACAAACTTCTCAACATACAGTATCTAAAGGAAAAAAACATGTGAACGTAAATGGAAATTTTAAGAAGAAAACTGAAGAAGTTAGCATTCCCCTCGGAGAAACGGATCAATCACACTTAATGAAATCAAGTTCTTGAAGAAGCAGGGTCACCCAACGAGAGTATACTTCAAAACCACTTAAACATAGCATTGTTAAACGTATCTTAGTATTTAAACGGTAGATATATGCATATTTTCATCCCCTAAAATTTTTTTATCTGTTCGGATTTCCCGTCTAGTGATCCGAAAATTATAGGGATCAAAACTTACCTTTTCGAAATTTCAGCCAAAAAAAAGGTTCCCGAAAATTCTAGGTGACCCGTCAGTGAAAATCCTTTAAAAAGGGCAATTATACCATTTTTTAGATGTTCGAAAATCCTAGGGAGAGGCAGGCAAGCAAGAAATTTTAAAACAAATGTTCCGAAAATTCTAGATCTCAAATCGTCTTCCGAACAGATGTTTTCCGAAAAAGACGACAGGGGGCACCCAACGGCAAATTTCGGGAAAATATCTGTTCGGAAGACCATTTGAGAACTAGAATTTTCGGAACATTTGTTGTAAAATTTCTTGCTTGCCTGCCTCTCCCAGGATTTTCGAACATCTCCAAAATGGTATAATTACCCATTTTAAACGGATATTTACCCTAAAAAAGGCCACCTAGAATTTTCGGGAGCCTTTTCCGGGCTGAAATTTTCGAAAAGGTAAGTTTTGATCCCTATAATTTTCGGATCCCTAGACTTTCAGCTAGGAAATCCGAACAGATGAAAAGTTTTTAGAGGATAAAAATATGCCTTTATCTACCGTTTAAATACTAAAATACGTTCAACAATGCTATGTTAAGTGGTTTTGAACTATATTCTCGTTGGGTGCCCCTGAGACGAGGTTTTGTTGTTAAAATAAAGGTGCTGTAAAACAACAATGAGGTAAAATAAGGCGACATCGACTTAAATTAAGGTGCGTTAATTATAAATTAACGCGTTAATAAAGTGCATCGCTAATTTCCTATAATAAGGAATTTCTGTAGAAACAAAACTGGATTTCGTTCGAGCGTAGCCCGAGCAAGGATGACTGTGATTTCTTTCAAGGAAGTGCTGAGTATTGTGAGGCTTCATTTTCTCTCTCTTTTTCTTTTTATGGTATATCCTTTGTTTTATCCATTAGACCAAGCATAAACGTGATACCGTCTACCGTATGCCGGTCCTCAGTCTTGGTTCTGTGTAAGCTGCTGGTTGGCAACTATGCTATTTACTCAATACGTGCATATATATATTGGATATATACAAAGATAAGATCAAATAATACTTATTTTTGAAATAAAAATATAGTTATATAAGCAGCTTTTTCAGCGTCCTGGTGAGTAATTTATGACCTATATATCATGTCAACAATGTTTCAGCTTCGGCCGCCAACATGTTCAACTAACAAATAACACTGAAATCATGATGTTTTTAATAGAGCCTGTACCCTTGACCTAAAAGTAGATTCCAGCTGTTTACGTTACACCAGTTCAACAGATTTTTCCACATGGTTCCGCACAAACTGTAAGACTGTTTGACTTATGAGGAATTTTAAAAGTGTATGTTCCGGCCATTCCGCCCGGGGGGGGGGCACTTTAGGAATTTCTGGGTGGGGATGTGCCGCTGGGACCCTGGAACCCTTAACCTATACCAGAGCTAGTTCAGCTGAATTTTGCTACCCTATACTAGAGTAAACTCCCCAAATCCCCCTATTCTAGAGTAGCTGTTTACCTAGTCTAGATAAAATCTTCAACCAACTGATCAGTTTCCTGAAAAATGATACCCTATTCTAGACCCAAACGCTCTGATTTATATACCCTATCCTAGAGTAAACTGCTTGAAAATCATACCCTTCACAGCGGCACATACCTATATAGCCCATATATGGCAGTACCCCCCCGGGCCATTCCGTAGCAAAGGCCCGCCAGCGGGAAAAATGTATGGGAGTATCCGTCGTAAAGGTTCATTCAATCGTGAATATACAATACGTAAGTATGTTGAGTATGATCCCAGGTTCAAACCTTTCACAATATAGTCAATATACAATACAATAACCTTTTCTGAAGGAGAAGACGTCATAACATTTTTACTGCGAGGTTTATCAACTCCAGGCCTGGTAGATAAAACTGATATCGATCCCGGTTGGTTAAAACGCTGGATAGTGCTATGCACTTGATAAATCACTGTCCGGTGGGTA